CACACACACACACACACACACACACACACACACACACACACACACACTGTTTACCATTATGAAGACAGAGTCCCAGAATCCTCACCCGCACAAAAATGTGATTTCATGGCCAGTCAGTGCTTTGCTTGATGTTTGCCAGAACCAGAATGCTGGTCAGTGTAGAAAGTTTTAGTGACGTGAACGACGACATCAGTGATGATGTCTACCTCGTGGTCAGAGCTGGGCTTGTTGATCTCTTTCAGCACTAAGCCGGTGTAGCCCTGTGGACAGCTGAGCTCCTGCCCCTTCAACCCACGCCCTCTGAATGACACCGTCTTCTCTGTCGTGACAAAAACACACAAAGGACTGTGGTTAGAAGGTTAGGGTTGAAAACTGGACCAGTAACAACACTCTTTACTCTACTGGGAGAGAGGCTGGGTGTACCTAGTTTGCAGTCTTTGGTGGTAGTAGTGAGGTATTCTGAGACCTGGGCCGGCCCATTGTGTTCAATCTCACAGGGCAGGAAGTGGACCGGGACTCGCTGTGCCTGAGCCACAGATGACACATTAACACGAGTAACACTGGTGTTACAGGACATCCTGCAACCAGAAGACAGAGAAGGACAAAAACATGAAAATAACAACTTACACCATTGTGTTTAAACCTACATTTCTTGCTGTGATTTCAGAAATAAAAAGGTTGTCTTTGAAGCATATGCTGGCTCCAAAAGATACGTTTCCCCAATTAGGGTAACTATGATAATTTATTATTGGGAGCTCTGACAACGACCAGCAGACTTTCCCTTAATAAACAGCATGCTACCTCTATTAAATAAGTCATATTAGCGTGTTTTCTAAGTTCCTCTCCAACGTTATTAAACGTGTTAAGTGACTTCAATGTGGATTTGAGAAACATAACCGCAACATTACCTTTAAGCAGTTTTCCAAACGATTATGTGAAATGAAATGTAAGATTTTAGTGTTTCCGGTTTGCGCCAGTCGCAGCGTGTGATTGGACAGAAGTGTCTTCTTCTACGGTGTCAAATTGTTTTGGCGGTTTTTTTCCGTTCCGCCGGAGGATGTCGCCTCCTACTGGTGACAGATTGTTGTACTTACTTTTTTTTTACTTTCTCTGCCTTTCTTTAACATATATATATTAACATATTTTTTAAAATGTAGTTTGTATAGGCTACATATCTATCAAAGTGCAATTAATAATCGGTCACTAAATATTCACATGTGCACTTCCATCCATCCATCCATTCATTATCTAATTTATTTATTTTGGTCAAGGTCACAGGCATTTCTGAAATTTCCCTCCGTTATAAAATACTTATTATCCAAAATACTGCTTTTCTAATTGGAGATTTTATCTCTTGGCAATTTAGACTACTCTATTCTCTATACTTCATAAAAGCAATATGGGATCATAAAGAGTCCAGATGGGTCTGACAGTGAGTGAGTGTGTGACTGGGGTTTAAATAGTGGATGCAGCAGAGTGAGCAGGTGAGAGTAATGAGCTGACGAGGTGGGTGTGACTGGCAGGTGCACTGAATAAACTGATTAGGTGAGTGAGAGATGGACAAAACAGGATAATGGTGGCAGAGCTGTGACACATACCACCTCTTCAAATAGTCAAGTTTACCACATTATAAGACCAAGGTCTATCCAAGTATATTGCAATTTTGTGTTTATTTAATTGAGGTGCCTCTGCACAGACATATAAACAGTTTTGTCATTTAGGGGGCGCTAGTGGAGATTATCAGAAAATCAGGAGCGATATATGTATGGGGGAAATTAGACCTTTGCAGTACATTTAGCAACAATGGAGGAAAAAAACAGACACAAAAACAAGAAAAAATAAATCATTCAGCAATTAAACATATATGTAAGTATAATATGGATTGGGCTGTAGGATGTGCAAATAAAGAATAAACTTAAAACAGAGGCTGCTCAGGTCAAATTATCATCCAACATTGTCACTGAGGGCAATGTATCAATGAGTTTAACAATTACCAAAAGAAAATGATAAGCAGATACACGCAGTTTTATTGTATTCTCACAGGGAGTTATGACATATATAAACTATATAATGGGGCTTTTGTTGTTTAAAGTATGAACTCCGGGTCTCAAGTTTCAGCCCTGTTGTCAGTGTCATGTTCAACACCAGGAGCTCTGCTCCAGTTGGCAGCAGCATCTCTCTTCATGTGGGATGGACTAAAGCCTGTCCAATGGCAGCTTTTCAGCAGCTAAAGTTATTGGGGGGGTTTCTGTTGACACCATTTCATCCAGACAGTATCAAGCTGTGGACAAAGAGACTTCAGAGGAAGGAGAAGTGATTTCCTAACAACTCATAGTTGGCCAACAGGAACCAGAGGTGAGTTTTTCTAACAAGACTGAGTACTGTTGGGCCTGCTGCTGTTGGATATCACATGAACATTAAACAAAACAAGGTTTTAATCTGGACATTGAGTAGAAAATGCTTTAGGGTCCAAAACTATAATCCTTGCCACCATAACTCTTAATCTGAAAATCTTCATGGCAGTGTTCATTAATGTGTTGTGCAAGTCGTAACTCCCTTCCTCTTTTAACGAGTAGATATTATTACAACTTTAGCAGTGTTGGATAAAGTGTTCATATAAAAAAAAAAGTCCGGCATTGGAAATATTGCTTACATTAAAGTATATACAGTAAGTATAATCAGGAAAATGCATGTAAAGTATGAAAAGTAAAAGTACTCCATACAGAAAGATGGCAGCTGTGACACCTTCACAATGCTTGTTTTGTCCAACCAATGGTTCAAAACTCCAAAGTGTTAGAAATAAAAAAAAAATGTAAAAGGAAAAGCAACAAGTCCACATAAGATGGAACCTTTCAAATGTTTTTGATGATAATCAAAACAGTTTCCAATTAATCTTTTATCAATTGACTGATCGGTTCAGCTCAACCTCTAGTTCTGATAGTTTATATATTAGCTCTTCATATGAATTGTATGCAAAGTCTTGATTCGTAAATTAACCAGTAACTAAAGCTGTCAAATGTTTATATAGTGAAACAAAGTACAATATTTCTCTGAAATGTAATGGAGTTGAAATAGAAAGTGTATATGAGAAAGAGAAGGCTCATGTGAAGTATTAGTACCTCAGATTTTTACAGTACATGAGTAAATGTACTTAGTAACATTCCATCACTTAACTTTAGTTACATGAGAAAATAAAAGGCTTAATTTTACAGACACTTGGTGTCCACTCTGATAAATACTGCCTATCCACCAACATTATTACACAATATGTGTAATTATCAAAACAAACTTAAACACATTGATTTGTTGCTTCTTTGATTCTACGGTCTAAGTGTTAGATGAATGTTGTCAGTTTGTTTCAGTCATCTGACGTGAGAGGCCTCTGCTTGTGACTGAGATTGGACTCAGTGGCTTCACAGCTCTCAGTATTATCAAAGGGGTGCTTGTATCTATAGGCTTCATGACATCATAACATCGTCAACCACACCTTTTTCATGAAATCTTTTCATTTCAAGGACTGAGACCGTAGACCGGAGCCAAACTTAGCCAGTACGATCCTTTTAATTAATACTTTACACTCATCTTTTAAAACATGCTTGTAATGTGGTTTCATTTAACTTTCTGAGTTTTTGTTGTATGTTGTCTTTGTATTGGTTGTTTTTCATCTGTTCCTGGTAAACAGTTTACTTTGTTGTTTGTCGAAGTTTAGACTTCATGGATCAAGGAAGTAATTTGCGGCGTCCAGGAGATGATCAAGAACTGTCAAACCTCATTGGCCGAGCTCTGATGGGGCTCCGGGATTCTGTCATCATGGTGATCTCACACGCCCGTCAGAGAGCTGTACAGGGATTTATTCTGGTCTTTATCGTCATCCTACTCCTCTGGGTCGCCGCCTTTTTATATGGCAGCTTCTACTACTCTTACATGCCCTTGGTGGCTTTTTCCACGCCTGTGCACTATTACTACAGGTGTGTATGTGAAGTCTTGCACAGACTGTATATTACTGTGTGTTTGATTCGTGCTTTCTTGTTTTTATTCCTAATCAATCATTCACGTTGTATGCAGGACAGACTGTGAATCTCCCACATCTTTTTTGTGCTCTTACCCAGTGGCCAACATCTCTCTGATGAGGAATAACAAACATGTATGTAGATGTGTGTGTGTGTGTGTGTGTGTGTGTGTGTGCGCGTGCGTGTGTGCATATATCTACTGCATGTATCAATCTATACTTCCACATGTGCAATCGTTTTAAAATGTGTATTCAGGTGCTGACATTCGGCCAGGCCTATCAGATGTCTCTGCAGCTGGAGATGCCTGATTCTCCGACCAATCATGAGCTGGGGATGTTCATGATCAAGACAACCTGTTTCTCTCGGGACGGAGGGCAAGTTGCCTCCTCCGCTCGCTCTGTGAGTCGTTGATTTGTTCGGCTCCCAGTGCTTGATTACTAAAGCCTGCAAAACCCAGTGATTCACGTTTGCATTTGCTGTGTGTTTCTCAGGCAAGACAGCAGCTGTCCGCCTCCAGCTCTCGCTTTGTGAGTACAGCGCTGACGCATAATAACGGTTTAATCACACAGCCTGGTCAGAGCCAGATTAGGGCTGCCTATGCTTGCTGCAACAGAAGGTGGTCTCAGTGCTCAGGTGATGGAGACGTGAACTTGGGGGTGCCATCATTCATTTAAATTGTTTGATTGAACACAGAGTGATCAGAAAAGAAAAGCATGTACATTGTGATGCAACGGTCCTCTAATAAATACTTCTTTTGGGGCCTGACATCATATAATCAAAGTGTTGATATTGTACTTTTTAAGGCTGTGTTTTGTGATGTTTTTGCATTCAATCATAAAATGTTCATCAGGTAATCCACTGAGATCAGCTTTTGTTCGTGGCCATTAAACTGAGCATGCAACCAAATCATTTAGTTATAGAAGGTAAAGCTTTTGCATCCATGACAACATCAATCAACCTTTCCTAAATATTCCTCATGACATCATTGAAAACACATTTGTAAGGAAAGAGCAAATTACTGGAGGAGACTGAAATGAATGCTTCAGGAGTGTATGTCTGGGTGATTGTGTTGCCCTGCTGTTTTGTCAGAGCATGCTGCGATACCGCTCAGACCTGCTGAGGTACGTGGGAACGGTGCTGTTCCTCCCAGCCTTTCTGACCGGAGTCGCTGAGCAGAAACAAGTGCTGGAGGTGGAGCTCTTCTCAGACTACAGGGACGACCCTGTGAGTCAAGCATTACTTTGTGAATGTGTCAGCATGTGTCAGTGTGCATAAACAGCAAGCAGGTATTTTGTTGGCGTCTACCTTATAGGTTTGTCTTCATGTACACAGTATGTCCCCTCGATGACGGCCGTCATTGAGATCCTGTCCAGCAAGGTGCAGATCTACTCATCTCAGCTCTATATTCATGCTCACTTCAGTGGTATGAGGTAAGATGTGCACACCATGCTTTATAATAGATCATGCAGAAAAAAAATCCATGTTCTTTAAATCTACAGCAAAAAATGAGACCGTAATAGAGTTAGAGTTAGTAATGTCATACTGAAACACATTTTAACACAGAAAATCTATTGTCTTTTGTAACACCTTCGAACTGCAGATGAACATTTTGAGTTCTGGCATTTTTCATTTCATGATTATATCTTCTCTCAAATAAACTAAACTAAAGAGAAATATTTCTCCACCTGACAGAAACTGACAGAAAGTTGGATAACGGGAGCTTTTTCTTTTTTGCATCACATCATAATTAATGTCTTTGTTTTTCTACTTCAGATACGTATTGTTCAACTTCCCTCTCCTATCAGCCATGGTGGGCGTGTTCAGTAACTTCATCTTCCTCAGTGTCGTCTTTGTCCTCTGCTACGTGAGGCTGCTGTTGAAAGTGGATTGGGGACCAGGGCAGGTGAGAGGAGAGGCAGACAATGTTTAGCTGCAGCTGCAGGGCTGCACACTTCATTAGTTTGGTGTTTAAGTGAGTGTGAAATATTACCAGATTCCTCTCAGGTGTTGTAGCTAAGACTCAACAAGCTCTGAGAGCTTGTTTTCCTCCTTGTTTAAAGCTCAGAACAGATGGACTGCTGTCAGATAGGGAGGAGAACACAAAGAACAACCAAGAAGAATATGAAAAATATGCTGCTGCAGGTACAAAAACACAGGCACAGAGAATTACAGCGTTTTTGTAAATGTTTGCATCAGGGACGTGTTGCTGACTACAAAAATAAAAGAATACATTCCTTGACAGGTACTGCAGATCTGATGTTCCCTTCAGATGAACCCCACAAATCTGAGCCGAGCGAGGCCATCCACCCCATCCTTTGATGCCAACACAGAGGTGCAGAACAGACAGATTCACCATCAGATTGAAACAATTGAAACAGAGGCAGCTTGAGGCCATTAATACAGGAGCGATTACAAGATGTAAGGATGAAGATTTAAGAGAGATTCATGGTTGAAAATGACTCAGAAAGCACCTACACACCGCTGCCCTGCTTTAGCTGGAGATCTTTTTGCTCCTACATCACGTCATCTGTGTTTCAGTATCAGAATTAGGTTTGTTACCAAGTAGGTTTTCACATGTAAGGAATTTAAGAAAGTTCTGCAACAATCAAGGCATAAATAAAATTTAAAATATGACAATAACATGTTTCATACTGTTTTGCTTTAATGTTTATGATTTATGGGATTGAGTCACCTGAACCTTCATCACTTTATACAAATCTTTCACTGTCAGTGTGTTTTTATTACTTTGCACTTCATAGCTGTAATCTGGTATTCACCAAATCTGTTTAACAGTAAATAAATACATATATTATTAAATAAATAAGCATATGAATAAATACAGACAAAATATGTCAGGTAACCATGAAACTTTCTTCATCCCATCAGTTTTTATTTCAAAAACTGTTTTCTTTCAGCTGTGAAAAGTAAGATTATGGAGCTGTTTCTTTTGCAGGTTATTACCATGCTATTAAAATGCTTAAAACCTATATGTTAGAATTTTCTTCCAAATATGATTTAAGTATGTAAGGTGTGTGTCTCTTTCTATTACACAAAAAGATCTGAAATTCATTTAATATTAAGCCAGCGTGTGTAGTACTTTCTGTTAAACTGCTGCAATAAAATCTTTGAAAAATGTTTATGAGACTACTTGTTTAATTTTTTGTGTAGTCGGAAAACACTTCCCCAAAACAGATAACCCACAACGTACACTCTCCTATTTGGAGGGAAAGCACCTTCCTCAATTTCGAGTCTTTTACCTCACACAGTGTGTCATTTCTGGATGTCCTCTTGAAGCTTTTGGAAACTTCATGACATCACTGCATGCAAAATATGGCACCAGCAGGGAGAATGAGAGAGGGATGTAGCTCACTGGCGCAGAGCTTTCTAACAGGTCGAAGACACAGTAAGGTAAGTTAGATGCATATGATCATTTGTAGTTTTATATTTCCATGTGTCATTTGAAGAAAGCTTTAAAACATTGCTTACAGAATTGTAAAAAAGCTAATTTCCTCAAATATATTCTGAACTGTGCAAATATTTCCCAACTTGTAAACATTTCCCTATTTTGTACAAGCACATGTGTTGGGGTCATGGAGTAGATTCTCTACCTACGCTCACACACACGGGACTCAAAGATGGACATCACAGATGATAACCACATGGAGGGGATGGAGATGGAGACAGAGAGCAAGCAAACTATGGATAATGACTTTTCTGCCATACTATCAGATGAGATGCACCGACATATGACAATCAGTGAAAAACCTTCCGGCTGCAGGGGGGTCAGAGTGAGATCCAGACCCAGACTGAAGTCCACTAAAAGTTTCCCACCTTACAGTCAGTGTATAGGTGGACTCGGAGAGGACGGGGAGGGGAACAATGAGCTCAATTCAGAATCAAGTAACGTGCCGAGGGGAAACAGGAATGAGGTCGCCCAAGGCACAGAAAGAAAAGAGGACTTTGAATTGAAAGCAAGATGTGCAAGGGATGAGGTGAAGGCAAAATGGAGGATGAGGAGGAAGGACAGACTTTGGGGGAGCCATGAAGTTGATACAGACGGTTGGGAGAGGTGGAGCGGGAAAAGAAGCATGGAAGAGAGTGGAAGAGAGAGGGAGTGTGTGCTGCCCCCAAACAGCGAGTGGAAACACTGGAGAGGTAGAAACTCCAGTTTTGAGATAGACGGCAAAGAAGAAGATGAAGATAGGAAGAGGTCTCCTGTTGCAGAGGTAGAGAAGGAGGGGAGAGGGGAGACCCCAGAGGGGGAGGATAAAGAGGCAGATGAGTTGCTGGGACTGAGAGAGGACTCCACAACACATCAGTGGGTCTCCCCACATCCCATCCTCTCCAAAATTTTGCAATCCTCCTCCAGCTCCTCCGTCAACTTCTCCTCAGCAGAAAGCGATGAAGTGGTCAGCGAAGGAGAAGATGTTGGCTCGAAGAGGATGGAGTTCAGGAAGGTGAGATTGTGTGGATGCAGTTTAAAACTACATTTTTAATTTGGGGCTTTTTGCTGTGCCAGTCTGGCATCACGCATGTGCATCATGGCTGCTCTGGTTTTCCACAGAAGAGGCATACTAAAACTATATTTCTTAACTGTTCTTTGCACCTTTGGTCCAGCCAAATTTGCATTGGCTTGAAAGAGGACTTTGACAAAGTCCGATTTGAATGAAGTTTGCATACCTGTCTGCTGCTGCAGATATGAAGGTAGACGGGAGCAGTCAGTGAAAGGAGAGGGAGTAAGGACTGAATAACAGATATAATAGGCAAATTATCATTAAGTAATACATCTCTGGGATCAAAATATCAACATTTGCAAACATCTGCAATTTGAAGTATTAGGTCTTACATATCAATGATACAGATATTTCCCTCAAACTACAAACTTGTCATTTTGTAACTGTGCCTCTACTGAGCATGCTCAGGTCTGCTTTCTCTTCCCTTGGTTTTTTTGTTTTTTCATGCCTGTGTATCATGGCGGCTGTTTTGTTTATATACAAAACAGATCTTAACTGTCGAGGTACGTGCTGTTTGTAAACACCAAACGCACTGACACTCATGACAGTTTTTGACGTGCACAGACGACTTAGAATGTGTTTATACTGTATAATGTATCCCAACTAATGTCTCTCAATCAGAGATATATTCTCACTGTCCAAAGAAATAGTCCTGCTTCAGCCGCTCCATTGGCCTTTTCCACAGCCGACATTTTTGACATCTCACAGCAGGAAAAGCACAGATGATGAATCGTAAAATGAATGAGGGCTGAATTTCATTGAGCTGCTTCAGTTTCCTTTCATTGTGCATGCTGCCTCATTGTCACACTGTCATGGCTTGAAGGGGCACTTGAATAGAACGGAGCCCGAGTTAATGTTATTAGTAACACATGTGCTTTTCCTGCTGTGACAAAAAGAGGTCACTGCTGTCACCTCACAGCAACAAGGCCCTAGTTCAACCCCACTGGCTAGCTGGGGCTTTTATACTTGCATGCATGCACACGTTCAGGTTCAGGTGAATTCTAGATAGATACGTATCTCTGTATGCTCTTCAAAAAGAATGCATGCTGGGAAAAGGCTCCACAGCCAGTTCGTCTTGCATGTTCGACATCAACATAAGCTGCTCTCCTTTTGTGCCTCAGTGCCGCTCCTGGAAAACCTACCTGACCATGATGCACTGGTCGCTGCGGCGGCAGAGCTCTTGGGTCCAGCTGGCTGGACATCAAGGCATGTTCCTCCAAAACAGACTCAGCAACTACTGTGATCACTACAACACTAAAATGAACTACATTCACTTATATTACTGCATGTATCTGTACACTACTGCATGCTGGATATAGCTCATACATTCATATCTCTGCTGTGTTACAACACTTTATCTCCAGAAGGCCCAACCTTTCACAACCTCATTGTATCTCATGTTAAAGAGGGGAAAAAATCACACAATTAATGATAATATCTGTGGGTAGCTAATAATTCTACATGTCTCACTGCTGCCAGGTACCTTCCAGCTGAGTGAGGGAGGGGAGGTGTTGAAACTGCACAGTGAAGTGGAGGCAAAGTGCCTGGACTGCCTGATGCGAGACCCGCTGAGACATTTTGTGCCGCAGTACCACGGCTTGGTCACCAAGGGGGAGCACTGCTACATCCGCATGGAGGACCTTCTGAGCGGCCTGAGGAAACCTGTCATCATGGACTGCAAGATGGGAGTCAGGTATAGGTTTGAGAGTAATTATGTCTTTCTACCAGAGGAGGCCAGATCAGTCTTGCAGGCGTATACACTGACTCAAATTGTAGAAATGAGTGTAGTTATGATTAGGAGAGGCTTAGTTGTAAAATGTGTATGTTAATGTACAACATGAGAGTTTCCTTCTCAGGACATACCAGGAGAAGGAGCTGATCAAAGCCCGGACTAACGCCACCCCGCGGAGTGACATGTACCAGAAGATGGTGAAAATAGACCCGTCCGCTCCATCGGAGGAGGAACACGAACAGAGAGGGGTGACCAAGTGTCGATACCTTCAGTGGAGAGATACGACCAGTTCTACGTCCACACTGGGCTTCAGGATAGAAGGCATCATGGTAGGACTGAAGGCCAACAAAATCACTCAAAATAATGATCTGTTTCATTCTCAACAAGTTCTCAAATGTGCCATGTCTGTGCTGTTGTGTTGCTTCTCTGTGAGTCAGATGGAGGACGGCAGTGTCCACCGGGACTTCAGGAAAATTCTGTCTTTAGCTGAGGTCACGGAGGCCTTGCTCTTCTTCACCAGGAGACAACTGGAGATCCTGGTCAGTTCTACCTGTTATGAAAACACTACTTACTTTTCCTTTAAAAAACATGTCCTAAATCCTTAATCATATAATAATTTGCAGAAAAACAAACCTAGAATAAAATCAAGGAATCCATGACTGAAAAAGAATGACTAAACGTAACTCAAAAACTGAGATCTAATGAAAATGAGATATTTGTTCAGTTTTAGTGTGTCTCAGGTATTTGCCTTTGATTGATCCATATCAGGCTTCCAATACATAATCAATGCACTGATGCCTGCTGTGCATTTCTAAAGACAGTTAAAGTATACCTCAACACAATGGGTATATGGAGGCAATTGTCTTTAAATGTTTTTAATTAAGACCGGATAAAAGATTAAACCAACAACAAGCATTTACGAAAACAGAAAAAAACTGAAATGGAAATTTCAAAATCAAACAAGAAATGAAAAAGTTGTAAGTCCTCAAATTTTCCTCCTTTCCTTCTTTAATCTTTGTGACTGACTTCCTGTGATTTCTTTATTTGGTGTCCACTCTCAGTTTATTATTTACCCTGTGATGTGTGAACTAACTGTTGCTGCGAAACAACAAATCATCTGTGCTCTCAGAAAGCCTACCACTCCAGACTCCTGGCCCTGAGTGACGCACTGAAGAATTCATTGTTTTTCAGAACCCATGAGGTTGGTTTAGAAACAGATCTTATCTTGTTAAATTCTGCTTAAGATCATATTAAAACCACGTTGAACCCAGAGGTCTTTTTTGCTGATATTATTATCTCTATGTTTGACCTGATCAGGTGATTGGCAGCTCGCTTCTCTTTGTCCACGACCACAGCTGCAAGGCCAGCGTGTGGATGATAGACTTTGCGAAGACGACGCCGGTGCCTGACGCGAGCCAGCTCAGACACAACCTCCCGTGGGCTGAGGGGAGCAGAGAGGACGGCTACCTCATCGGTCTGACCTCCCTCATCACTTCTCTGAGCCAGGCCATCAGCGTGGCCTCCTGGCAGCAGGAGGACAGCTGTGGAGAAGAAAAGAGTGTTGCATGAGACGCCCCCATATACGACACCTTTCACTTTGAACTGTTGCCTCATTTCATTCACTAAAAGAGACAACAGAGGAGGATGTGTTTGTGGGGAATCTGTCTTCATGGGCAAAGAGGAACGATAACGGTATGAATCAATTCAAATCCACAGAAAAGACATGTGGTCCTCCTGCAATTGTACATCTGGCATGTACATACTGTAACAGTGGAGACAATGTTGTATTACAAACAAATCTTTCTTCTTTACTAGTACCTATTTATTTCATAAAGGACCAAACACAAAATTTCCTTGGGCT